AGTACCTGCACTGCTGCTCCTCTTTTGCTGACGGCAAAGCCAGGCAAAGTATCTGGCATCGGGATAGGCCGGCAGCAGCTATGCTAGTAAAGGAACATTACTGAGGGCCAGGCTGTCTGTCTACCTAAACCCATAGGCAGAGTCTCTCATATGCTGGTATCATGCTTCTGAGAGTGGACAGAGACAGGAGAGTTTGGTGCCAGTACCCTCCTGAGCACCCTCTTCCCATGTTGCCAGACAGCTAATTCCCTGAAAGGAGGGATGAGCGTGGAGACATGCATTGCTGTCCTGCCAGCAGCCCAACAGGGGAATTGCCACAAAGCAGCAACAGGCAGGACTGACTCTCTACAAAGCTCTCCCCGATACTCTGGAGCCTCCCCTGAAAGGAGCTCTTGGGTGAGAAATCCCTCCTGCTAAGAGCTGAAAAGCAGGTTGAAAGAATTTCCCTTAGGGGGCTGGCCCTGTGCAGATAGCCTCTAGGAGTACCTATGGGATAACAAGCATCCCAGCTCCAGGGGAAAAAACATTCGTTCATTCTTAGGACTGGAACTCCCTTTTTTTTTTTTTTTTTTTTTTCTTTTGGGGAGGAAACCCCCCAAACCTGCATTTTCTTTTCTTTTTAACAAACTTTGTCACGTTTTCCTCAAGGCAAGTCTGGTCCAGTATTCTCAGCCTTCACTGAAGAAGTAAAGTGGAAAAAAATCCCATTTTCAGCATTGATAGCAACTGCTTCTCTGGGCTTTCTGGTGGCACAAGGGAAGAAGTTGGCTGATCAGACAAGATGGCACAGACTGCTTTGCTACCCACGCTGAACATCCCGGTGAACTCATTCACAGCTAGGGACACTGCTCCTGCAGTGCCAGCTTCTCTCCCCAGGGATGAAACTTTATCGAGAACAGTCTTGCAAAGCAGCATGACATGAACGGCTGAAGTTGCTAAACAAATCTGTCTTACGCTTCTGGGCAGTGAAACACTGAAAGAGACAACAGACCTATGATAATTGTTTTCTTACCTAGGGATCCAAATTAATACTTTTTTTTTTAAAATTAGAAGTGATCATGTTTTTCTTAGCTATATTGTTAGCAAAATGACAACTGAATGGCATATTACCTTTTTTTTAAAAAAAAATTTCTTGAAAACAGCATCAGCCTAAACTAGGTTTGCTTGTGATAAAAATATCTGTTTTGAATAGTACTGTATTATCTAATATGAGAAATTACAAAATTCTACTGGGAAAATATTAAGGTGTTTTTCTCTTAAATAGTAATCCTAGACTGAGGGAATGCACAAGTTCAGGAATTCCCTATAATGACAATAAATGTTGAGGTATAATTAGTAATATTTTTGAAAGCCAACAATTGTTTTTTGAAAGAAAGGTACATTTTAGTTTCAAACTGCAACACAAATTACTGTATTTTTCTTACAATAGTGCTGAACTTTTATTTGAGGTTCTCTGTTACTGAAAGCAGACATGATGGATTGAAATAAAAGATAATTTATTGCAATGCTTACTCTCAAGTGCAAAGAGAAGCGGTGTAATTGTAATTTACAGTAGCTGTCAAGGAAAATCTATCACAGATGACGTTAAAATGACTTATTTTCCCTGAGCCACTTATTGTTTAAATGTGCATAATCTGATAGAAACAGATTTTTTTAAAAATCTGCTTTATATTGTTCTAAATTAATATCAAAACATATACTTATGAGTTAAACACTTTAAACCATTTATTAATGCTTTCATCACTACTATTTTTTCCTAGGAGTTGGAAATTGGTTTATTTAACAATATCACCTTCATGGTTTTTAGCTCTGTACACTCACGACGCTTCCATGTCTCTAAACTCACTGTCTGAAAAGTAGATTTCAAACTAGATTTGTTTCCATCTGAAAGAGAAGTGTCAGAAATGGTAGAAGAAAATGGAACACAGGGCCCGATTCTGTTTGCACTGGAGCTGACCGACAGTTTTGTCACCACCTTCAATAAGAACAGGTTAGCAAAGGTTCATTTTTCTAAGCAAAGTAACTCATGAATCCATGCAATCTTTTATTTGCGCCTGGTAGCTGATGGGATAGGGAACTGCTATACATGAAATACTCAGTGTCAGCTATTGAGCTTCCATAACAAAGACTGAATGCAAACTTACCTCTGCGATATAATTATTCCCAAACCTATTGTAGGAAGGAAATGTTCTGATTATTTGTGCATAAGATATGTTCTGCATATTACTTGAGTGCCTTATCAAAATAATTCTGTTGGAAGAAACCTAGACACATTTCCATTCTGATGGGCCTAAATGTTTTCAGCTTGTAGGTGCTTGTTCTCAGGTATTTATGATATCTAACTCTTCTGAAACTTAAGATTTTTATGTAGGTAGGTATTATATAGTCTGTCTGCATGCAAATGTCAAATGACAAATAACCAGAAACATACAGCTTCACCAAACCAAGGCGATCTTTCAGCAGAGGCAGTGTTAAAGTAGTTCTAAACAAATCATCACATTTAAATCGTCGACACGATAAAATCTTGAGAAATAAAGTTAATGACCTGCTATTTCATATGTAGTTTTGAACAGCTACTAGCTTTGATTAATCTGCTTTTCAAAGGGGGCACTGACTATATATTTACACTTTGCAAGTAAACTGACCTCCGTAACAACACAGCAAAAATCCAATGTCACATTCAATTCTCTTCTTCTTCTTTCTTTTTTTTCTTTTTTTTTTTTTTTTTTTAATACAACTAGAATTAATGTAGTGAATCTGTAATGAAATGCATTATCCTGCATGGAGATTTATCAGATTTTCCAATTGAATGCCATGCTTTGCTAGCACTAGCTGGAGTTCACCTGCATGTTGGTGTGGCGTGTGGCTCTTTTTTGTAAAGAGTTAAGTTGAACACAAAAAAAGGGAACAAAGGTCAGCACCCAGCCGCCACTTGAATGTGAGATTTTTCTTTTTATTCCCCTTGATGTATACTAGGCTCTGTGTTATTAGTCTTAATGATGGAAAATTGTAGTGTTGATACAAATCTTTTTTTCAAAGTAGTAGGCGGGAGCTCCATTTGTTAGTAAGTTTTTTTGTGACTAAAAGCCACGGACAGTACATTTATGTAGCAGTAAAAGGCCTAGATGCTCTTTCCATAGCAGAGCTAATTATTCCTACTGTGACCTTACTGATCTACCCTGTTCCTAGTACATCTCATCTGCACGCCTGTTCCTCTGTGTAGATGGTGTCAGAGAATATGAAAAACCCTATAATGAAACCATTTTCATGATGGAGAAAGGCTACTGGAGTTGCACTTGCTACAAAGAGGCTCAATTATATGAGTAATTGTGATAATTTTCTACATTCATAGCCTTCAATGGGGAAAAAAGAATGAGAGCCACAAAGGAAAATTACTTTAACAAGAAAGTACAGAGAGTAAAAATGGAAGAAGAGACAAAAAAGGGGAAAAAAATAACCAGAAAAAAAGTTTAAAAAATAGATCTGGAGGGAGGAATAGTAAGACAGGGAGAACAACAGAAATGCTCAAAAAGCCTATGTGCAGCTGTGTTGCACAATTAAATTGAATTTTTTTTCTGCAGTTGATGAATGTGACTACTGCAAATGTGCCTCTGTAGTTAGCTATCATTTGTTGTTCCGTGACAGGAAAAGGATAATTACCTCTCAGAGAGAATCAAAGGCTGACATGCCCTTTAGACACAGCCATGAATGCAGAGCTCGATAGAATGCTTGAATAAGAATCCAGTGTTCTGTGCCCCCTTCTACTCAAGAATAAATTTTGTTAAAATGCAAGAGCACCACCAGTAAATTTGTTGAACCCTAGGTGTTCAAAAATATGAGGTGCATCTATCGACTCATCCCATTTGCAAAAATAAAACTACATTTTGAATTCACTTCTATTATATTCATGGACAGTAAGATAGTGAGATATGCATTAAATTTCTTTTCCCAGTAGGGGTCTGATTCAACATTTCCTATGAAAGAACAGAAAGACACTATCCTTTTTCTCCAGGCTAGTTAGCCTATAATTTAAAACTGTCAAAAACACAATTTTATACAAAGTCTTCAATAAAAGCTTCTCAGATATAACCCAAAGAGGTTTTACTAAAGTTTGATTCAGACTCTGTTACAATATTTTTAAAGCTATAAATATGTCTAACTGATATTTTGCCGTTCTCCTTTTTCCTTAAAGTATTTGAAGATTTACAAAGAGAAAAAAGCAGCATCCTTTCAAGGTGACTAAGCCTTGCAGCTTTTAAGTAATCAGAATGTATTCAATAGCATGTTGGGACCATTAATAGTCCAGAGAAGTATTGCTTAATGAAATGCATACGATATATGTCTATTTGTTTTTTTTGGCAAACATTTTAAAATAATCCATAGGTACCTTCAAAGAACTAAGCCTTCTTCCCGTATTTTTATTCAAAACTGCCAGCATAAGAGTCATGACTACATTTAGGTGAAGACTAGAGAGATGCAAAATAGGGAAAAATTTCTGAATGTGAGCTCTTTTTTCCCTGTGACTTTAGTATGCACTGCTCTTTATAAGATCACAAGCTCTTGAGTTAAATATTTTTGTTCTTTTTAAACAGAGACTTACTTATGTTGACTAATTCCTTTGTAACATTTGTTATTGCTATATAATGAAAACAATCGTTTCTAACCTTCTTACATCATTAGAGAGATAGGGTGTAGTTTCACACACAAATAAAAAAATAAACAAAAGACCCACTGCAAATCACATTGGTTAATTTAAATCTATCTTATGAATATCTTTGACTCTTTATACAGTTATCTTTGCTGACTCTAGTATAATTCACTTTAAAAAAAAAAAAATCTCTTACCCAAGGAACAACATTATAGCTTGGCAGTTCACATACTGATATCAGACTGAAATGATGGTTTTGAATCATAAAACATGTCATCAGCTTTATACCAAACCACCAATAACCTTTGTCCCATTTGCCAGCCCTCCCTTTACTTGTCAATATAAGGCTTACCTGATTGTGTTTCCAATTACAGAGAAGGGAGCCCCTGGTCTGCAAGCTGCAATTGCTTCATCTCTACATTTCCTGGCAACCTCCACTAACTTTTGACCAGATTTATCCACATTGCCCACCAAAAAGGTTTCAGAAGTGTCACCATGGTAGCCATTGTAATACACCTAAACATATGCAGAAATGTGAAGACATTTTCTCATTTTGCATCCAGAAACAGATCATCTCCTTAATTAAATCTATTCTTTTTAGGAAGGAGCTATATATTGCAAGAGATAAACCATAGGTAAGCTGTATTTGTGAGAATGAGACACTGGAAAAGCAAAATATTGCAGGAAAGAAAGAAGCATTAAAGATTTCAAGGTGCGTAAGTGTTGCCAATTAAAAATTCAAGAAAAGCAAAAGTTGTGCATTGCTGCCCAGCAGTGCACCAGACGATGACATTGCTCAGCTACAGGACGTGAGGTTAACTGGGTTGTATGCACGAAGATGTGTGGGGGCCATGAATGGGCTAAAGGGGGCCTTGGAGGCTGTTGAGTGCCCACCCACCCCGGCCACCTGCCCCTGGGGCCAGGGACTTGCTTGGACCCCACAGGAGTAGGGCATCGAGCCCTGGTCCTGGCCATGGGCACTAGGAGACCCGTTGGCATCTGGCAGGGACACCCGCACCTCTGCAGCCAGGATCCCCTGGTGGGTTTTTGAGGTGATGCTCTGCACAGCTGGATGAGAGGTGTACACTGCTACCAGCGTCCAGAAGGAGTCCCACAGAAAGCATGGGCCAAATCCACTGCCAGCCATTGCATCTTTTCTTTAATCTCGTTTTTAATCTATAATGTGGCATTAACATTGGATTTTACTTCTGATTTTCAGTGATGAATTTTGAAAGAGAATAAATGTAGCATTCTGGCACTGCAAAGTTTCACATGCTGAAAACATAGCACCCTGTTGAATTAATTACATATTGGGTTGTTTGGGTTTTTCTTGACATTTCATAGGTTTTAAACTTCAGGTCTCCAGAACCTCTCTCCTGGGCACAGGAAACCCTGGCTATGCACCATGGAGCTCTGCAGTGCACCATTAAAATGGGGCTTGCAGCTCTCTGCAGTATGGCAGGCAGGCACATAATTGTAAGACCAAGTCAAATTTCCCTACTGAAAGACAAATTATAATGCTGCACAGTTTTGATCTTCTAAACATTTTTTCTCCTCTAAACAGTGGGCAACTATCCTTCTAGGACTAATAACTCACTAAGCTTGAAGCACTGAACTTTTGCCACTGGCAAGCTATTTGTGAAAGACAGACTCACATTCTTTTTGTTTGATCCCAAACTAAAAAAAAAAAAAAAATTGGCTACAGACAGTTTATCCCAAGGCCAGGTTTGTATTCAGGCTGGGAGGTGAAGCATACGCAGGCAGTTAGAAGCCTGGAATGTTTTAAAGAAAGGTGAGTGCCAGCAAGGGCCCAACCATGTTGCCACTGCTCTGGCAGAGAACAGCTACGATCCCATGCTCTACACACTTCTGCCAATCCAGACTGCCACTAATTTTTTTTATTTTTTTTTTTTTTTTTTAATTCTAATGCCCATTGGGCAGGTAGTTCACATTTAAACTGAACTAGTTCATTTTTAGCTCTAGCAAGTACAATACACAAAACCCCAGCATTAAACATCATCATCCTAGAAAAGCAAATACAGATTTAAAGCATAGAAGAGCTTAAAAATAGTAATAATATTTACTGCGGCCCATCAACTGCAATTACATATTTTTTGACGTTAATAAGCTACAACCACAGCAATTGTAGCACACTAATTCCTTAAAAGTCAATGAAAGAACCAACTTGTAAGAAACATTAACCTGGTAACGGCAGGCTGAAAACTGCACTATGCTGAGGATTCAGTGATGGCTAATGCTACTGTTTCTACAGCAAAATACATTTTAAAGGCTACATTATTCAAGCCAATAAAATCTGTATTTCATCTATTAAATACTACCATCTTAATTGTGCAAAACCGGATTTTTTCTTCAAATAATTTGTACATAGCACGAAGTGTTTACACTTAATAACCAGAATATTATTTAATCATTTTATAGAACCTGTACACAATTGTAAACAATTTGTTGTGCAATATTTACTTTGATTTTTCTTCTGTCCACCTGTGAAATGTCCCAGTTTTGCTCATTAAAAATAGGCTAAAAGATGAGTTAGCAACACTGAAAAGTACTATTTTTTCCTCAGCTATTTTGGAACTGAGCAATTATCAAACACAGCACAGTTCAGTTTTAAACGATAAAAAAGTCTTAGACAATCAGCAATTCCCATCCTTGCAGGAATCTTCACATTCACTGAAACGTCAAGATTTATTTTATTTGATGAGGGTAAACAGAAAAGAAATAAAAATAGGTCTTAAAAAGACCAGTAACACTTAGTCAGCCATTATTTGTAAAGCAGAGCGGACAAGATATGCACACCTTGTTAATATAAAAATGTTTCGTTTAGTTTATCATGGAAAGTATCTGCGAAATGAATCTACACTTTTTTTTAATCTAAGGCGTCATTACTATCCTGACAGTAAAAAACAAAAAAATAAAATGAACCTTAATGAGATACAAAGAAATCAGATGTTAAATCCTTAGTTGTTGCAAACTGATTTAATCTAATAAAAAGCAAAGCTACATCAGTTCACCAAAGTAAAAATGTATGTCAAAAACATACTTTAAAAATGACAGATCGCACTGTGTAAAACTGATAGTATTCTACAATTTGAAAGTATGGAGATGGGAAAGACTTTAGAAAGATTAAAAAACCAAACCAAACCAAATTCTAGATCATACGTGAGTATACCATGGGAAGAAGGTCACTGACCCTGATTTTAATAGAAAAAATATTTTAGAAAGCTTCAAGCTCATGCTCAGAGGTAGGTCTGCTGGAGATTTCTCTGCTCCTGCCTGAAATTTGGGCCCATGGAAAATAGTATCAATTTGCCAAGAGTTTCTTTAACGATTAAAAAGGCTTGTTTTTATGAGATGTTACTCTTTTGTATGTGCTATATTATTGCAAAATAATGGTGGGATCCAAGACACGCCCGTGTGCATGTTAGAAATAAACAGCACTTTGGGAAAATAAAAGCATGCACAGTAAAAAGAAAAAAAGCTTCTGCAAGAGATGAATAATATATTTTTTTTAATAAATGAAACGAGAATTAGGTTTCCAGTTTCCGTACTTTCCTGCTCCTAAGAAAATCCAGACAGTGCTTATTTAAATAGCTATAATTGACCATTCTCTGGAAATATTAAGTCACAGTTATATCACACTATTTCTGTTTCTGCGCAAAAGGTTCAGGGCTTTTATACCAGAAATGGAACACAACACTACCTTCGGGGATTTTAATAAATGTAGGGAACACTGCTAGCAAAAGAGTTGCTGTCCAAATAGACTGACATACACAGGCCAATGTAGCCTCTAATGACAGAGTAAGATAATGACAGGCCCCACTCAAAATCAGCCGGAAGAGGAAGATCAATCTTGGCAGAGTGAAGGAAAAATGCTGGCTTTCTTCATGTTAGCTCATCTCATACATATCTATCTTCAGCTGCTGCCCAGTACTGTGGTGCTCTGCATTAACTACACAGTGGATCAATAACAATTACACCTTCTCAAAAACATGACACATAGCAGGATTGGGTTGACATTTCACTTAGGCCAACATTGATCTCAGTGCATCTGATTCCAGTCCTAAATTCAAGTCAGGCCTGGGTCTAGCTGGAATAAACACACAGTTAAAAACAAAAAAGGAAACCAGCTGCTTGTGCCTTGGCTCAGAAGTAAACAGCACATCCATCTGTGCATCCCCCATCTCCAATCCACTATTCTTCCTGTTGCTACTAGTGATTCTAAAGTTGATCAAAGACTATTTTTTATATGAATTACTCACCGTGACATCAATGTTGATAATATCTCCATCCTGAAGAGGTCGACTGAAACATAAACAGAAAAAAAAAATAATGGTGACAGACAGTTCCCAACAAAGGGAATATAAGAATAAACACCTAATGACACATACATAAAAAAACAGGGGGTAGATATTTTGTGATGAAGGAAGGCAGAGGCAAACAGAATAACCATTTTTAATGTTCAGCTCTCACTACTTAGAGAACAAGTGTAGCTGAATATAAAATAATGAGAAACAACTACCAGAAAAAACATATCAACACCTGAAAAATCTACCATTATATTTATTCTTTTTCTCTCACTAGGGTTCATATTTTACTTTGTGAGTAGCTGAATGTATTGCAAATAAAAAAAACCCCCACACATAAATTCAAATATATTTATTCCTTACCCTATACTTATTTTGCTGGAGGGGAAAAAAAAAAAAATAAAAATCAGACTCTACTGTTTGGGGCTTTTTTCTATAAACTCTAAAGGCATTACACTATTTTTTTTAGTGTCTGGACAAACAGGGTAATATTTTTTTTTCTATTTCACACACATTTCTATAACATCTGTCAGCATGGTGCAGTAACATGATATGCATCTGCAATACATTTACATACAACATCTAGTTAAGCCGAAGTATGTTCAATATTAAACACAATTTATTAATTCCAGTTTAACATTTTCATTCCCGGTGGTAAAATGCATATTATTGGGGAAATACCTGTCAGGAATACCATGACATACCACGTTGTTTACAGAAGTACAAACAGATTTTGGAAAACCTCCATAGCCCAGAGGTGACGGATAGGCATTCTGTCTGATTATTTCATGATGAACAATGGAATCTATTTCTTCAGTTGTCATGCCAACCTAAAATATCAAACATAACATCCTGCTAAAAAAGCAAAGATAGTTTCTCATATTTACCGAATGTTATTGCAGCCAAGCATTTCAATGAAATCTTGGATGTTTCAAATACGCTGCTTTGATACAAAACACTGATATACTTCATTGATATATTGGACATTTTTTTTTAATGAGAAAAAGGTTTTAAATAAAGCAAGCAGTAGAAACGAGCACTCAAAGGTTCCTCGAAAACCTAAAATACTGTCTACTTCCTTTCCGTTCTTTTTTCCACATGTGCTTTCTCAAAGATAGCAATTTTCCATGGCATCTTGTTTCAGTAGCTCTACAGAAAGGTTTGGTTTCAGTGCTTTCAGTCCTTTAAAACACAACATTACTTTCCCTTTTTATTCGTAAAAGAAAGGATCTTAATTCTTGTAACTGCCTATTACATTTATCATAATGTATTTGTGTATTTTATGAAATTGTTTTCCAAGTATTCTTTAATTCTATGAAAGATTTAAATATTTGGCTTCATATCTCAAGGATATTTTACTTAAAGTTGCCATAGCCTGGATGATCACAGTGAATCTACAAGCACTTATCCATCATTTTTAGAAATCTTAATTTTTATGCTTTACATTTTCTAGATTCATCTTTTTCTCACAATTTTACATATTAAAAAAAAAACCCCTCTCATAAATCATTCAGCCATTTTCTGAGTATCCGTGGAGTGGAAAATGCATACGCTTAAAATAACATTCTTCTCGCGTCTCTTTCGGATCAACTCTGCCTCTGGAATGGTTAGAGCTAAAATCTGAAATTTGGTAGGGAAACCTCCCTCATTGAGAAGAAGTGCCTTTGAGGATTCCTTTGCAAATTGATTTTGATTTGAATGAGTTTTGAGTCTTTGAAAGTCATACTTCATACACATCCACTACAGTGGCTGTGATTTCAGAGGAATTTTTAGTAACATGGAATACAGGTAGGCTGCGGTGCAGGAGGGATGCTTATCCCTATATTGAAACATTCAGTGATCATGCACAGTGAATACAGTGAAGTGCACTAACGTACTGTGCTGAGGTTAAAACCAGGTCTATTTGCTCAGCCTGCATCTTGTTCAGCACGAAAACATGGCTGGGCAGATGAGGAGTGATGAGCCCACTCAAGACCAGGATTTGGGGTTACTGTGCAACCCCCCTGCTTTGCAGTAGCCATTGCAGCCTCTGCGCTGGGGCAGCAGCCACAGCCTTGGCACACGGTCTGTATTGGATACTGCAGCCATTGGTTCTGGATAAACACAGGTTTGTTGCTCCCTCCTTCGCTCACCCGTCTATCATATTCAGCCCACAGACAAACTGAACTGCTGTGTACCAGACTGGGTGCTGTCTGCTGCTGCTCTGCTCAAGGAGTTCGACATGGCTTTTGGACACTCAGCAGACAGATCTGTGCTCCCTGCATGGCAAGCTTACATGCTACAGAAAGTTCTGCTTTTAACAGCATCTTCTTTACTTTTAAAGGAGCTTTTGCTAGCTGGGCAAGGTTGAGGAGGCACCTATTGTGCACCTCATACCTTATTTGGGATGGGGCAATATGATGGTATCTAATAAAATATTTCCATGTCAGTCATAGAATTTGCTGTTTTATTCCCAAATCTTTAACTCAAACCCAGGAAATGCTATCATATGTAATACTACATTGTATTCTTAAGTCCCACAGGAAGTAAATATCAAAACCATGCTCAGATCAAATGTTGCCTCTCTGCATCAATGCATTATAATGCACCTTTGTTATATTGGGGGATGTTACTGCCATTAGCTAAAGCACAGGAGAGAGCTGGTTTGGAGGGTTGTGTGCAAGGCACGTTCCGCAAGACAACAGGAACAGGTAGAGGGATGGGACTCTTCAGATACAATAGGAATGCAGAGTCTACTTTATGAGAATAGCCTAAAAGAGTTCCGTTTGTTTAGTCTGGTACACTGAAAGCTGTAATAGCTCTATTATTGTGTGAAGGGGACAGACTCAAGGAAAGGCAGGAAGCTGTTTAAATTAGAGTGATGCTGGCACAAGAACAAGTGGGTATAAACTGGCCACACACAGCATCAGGCGGGAAAGCAGAAGACGCTCGCTGTTGATGAGGGAGGGTTTTGGAGCACCCTCCCAGTCAGAGGAGTCTTGGCCAAACACTTACTGGTGTACAACAGAGCTCACCACCTGTCTGCAGCTGACCTAGACAGCAGTCTTGGCACCACAGCCCCACATGCCACCTCCCTCCCAGTCCACAGCTCCTGGTCACATAATTCTTACTTTACACACTTTCTTGTTCCAAAACTTTTGTTACATGTATGTAATATTTTGCTATTATGTATGATTTGGGCACATACTATGAACTGCATCATAAGCTGCACACATATGTATTTTACACATGCTAACAGCCAAAGTGAAAAGCTGCTCTCACTCAAAACCCACATTGCACCCTGATCCTTCAGAAACACGTATACACCCTTAACTTCAGTAAGTTTTACTGTACTGGGAAATAATTGCATATAAAGAAGTTAAACACACACGAGCCTATGTAAGATTAACACTCCATGCAGTTTTGTTATTGGCCACCGCAGCTCCAGAATTAAACCTCTGGGACAGTGTGATGATAGCTGAAATAAAAATGCATGGTAAATTGATAATTTTTCCCCCTTTTAAATCAATGGCATTGACCTACAGTCCCCATCTATCTCTGCATCTCATAGCTACTCAACCCATTTTACCCTATCCAGTGTGCTATTACATGTAATACCAAGGCAAGGCTAAAAAAGCACTCCTTCATCTGCAAAACCTGTTAGTAGGCTCCTCCCAGTACATTTTAACTTGGGAGGTTTCCCAGAAAGCATACAGTAGAAACATTACCGGAAACCATGAGGCTTTATTATCAATGCACTCTGGAAAATTGTGTGGAATTTGGCAGCTGTTTTTCCCAATGACAGCTCTACAAGTCATGCCAGACCCTGCAGGACAGTGAGGGGCCAAAGGATGGACAGGAGTAGAGGAGGCAGCCCAGCCCTTTGGACTTGCACACATGTGGAGCATGAAAGCATGACATACGAGGAAGATGAGCCATGAAAGGAAAGGAAAAAATGTAGTGTGGGCCTTATGAGAAACTCACCTCATTTGGCATAATCTGAACAGAGGGTATTAGAGAGGGATACTACACCTGAGCCAGCAACTCATTCTAAGTACTATATAGGTCCAAAACACAGAAATAATTAAACAGGCATATCATGTACTGAATCAAAAGTTAATAAATCCTTCTTTTTTCAGGATCTAACTTAAAATTGGATGCAAATTAAGCGAAAGTTAAAAAAAAATAAAAGTAGAAAAAAAAACCCAATAAGTGAAAGCATAAAAGACATTCAAGCTATTATGGGACTTGTGTAATTGTTACCTTTAAGCCCTTTCCAGCCAGAAGCAGGACATGACGGGCCAATTGACAAGCTTGACGAAGCCCTCGAATCTGATCTTCATTCTTAATTTCTATGTTGTCTCCCCAGTCTGGTACAACGCCTGTCGTCACATAGTCTGGCTTCTTTATGTGCTTGGAGAAAAAGGATTGAAAATGAAGATCAGAAAACTGAGCATGACAATGGGATCATTTTCTCAGATACTGCCTCCTGCTTCATGGCAGCTTGCCCTTTCTGTCGTAGTATCGACCTTCCTAAGCCATCAGGGCAAACCCTCAAGGCTGCCTCAGTATTTCTTCCACTGCCCTTTTGAACTTAACATTGCCTGTTACTACTGACTTATACAGTCTGTTAGCCTTCCAGTGCTGAAACCCCAGATACTGCAGCTGACTTCCAGCACAGACAGTCACAAGTTTTGAAATTGTGAGAAAGAGACTTAAACCCTCTTAATTTTCTTTTGCAAAGAGGTACATTTTCTGCACAAGGTATCTAAGCACTGGAACTGATGGGACAAATATACAGAAGGAGGCTCAAAAATAAAACTGATCAAATCCTCCATTTCTTGCTCAGACAAAACTCCTATCAACTTCCATGAGGTTGCTTTTTGACTGAGAACCTCAGGATTTAACTTATTTTAATTTAGAGGTTTTTACTTATCAATGTATTTCATATGCTGTGCCCAAATTTTTCCTTCTACAATGTTATGCAAGGGTATTTGCTGAGTCAAGGAAAGTGTAATAAACTTCATTTTTTCCACACATAAATTTATCAGCCCTCGTATAGAGGTGAAATTTCATTTCTGATTTTCTGAAATCCACAACAATTTCACAACACATGTATAAACACAACAAACTAATGATAATGGTAACATCTCGCACAGAGATGGAAATGTACTTTCTCTCAGAGGGGCCTGGGCTGTTTCACTGGCTGGGGAGGAGTCTCTTTGCCCACCACAGCTGGGCTGATTCTCTGCCACAGCAGCCCCAGGTGGAGTTCTGTACTAACTTCAAAAAATACAGAATCAAGCTGGCAAGCAGAAAACAAAGTGGGCACTTGAGCTGCACACAACAAGACCACGCAACAGCAGGGTGTAGGAGTAAAGACGAGTGGGGCAACCAATTAGCTCTAGCAGGACTTCAAATAAGATGACTATTGTTACTCCTACAGGTATTTAATTTCTACTCCGATAAAAAGTGAAACTATCTTTAGTGGACTTACATCAACAGATTTTCAGATTTACACTTCGTTCAAATTAATGGCATATCAACCTTAACAACAACCTATTGCAGTAGTTTGGGACTTAATTTAGAAAAAAACCCACCATTTGCTGGATTAGCAACTCCATGCACAGCAGCACCCTCGCTTTCCCCTTCGAGGGTACTTATCTAGTAACTGCTGAGACTTGACCCTGACAACCTGTAAGTTAAGTGAGAAGCCCAAAGCAGCATACATACAAATGTCTGTGTATACAGTTTTGCACCCATATTTTGAAAAACCCCCATGTTATTTCAACGGGATTTTTGGCATACTCTGTATAAAGTAATAACTTTGCCCTCAAGTTTTCAGTGTTGAAGAATTGGACTGATCTTTAGACAGCCTGAGAACTCTGATCTGTGAAGACAACTTTTCAGTATGACAATATATTTCTCCCTCTTTATCCTAAAAGAAGCATCTAAACACAGAAAAAAAGGTTGTAAGTTCTAAAATTTTTAAACTTTTGAAAATATACAAAGCATGCAACCCTATGTTCTCCCTGTACACAGAGCTTCCAGCGCCTCTTACATGTAAGAGCCCTACATCCAGCATCCTTAACTGCTCTCCTATCTAACAGCTTTTTATTATTTCTGGCCCATAGAAATACTCTATATTTTGCATAAGAAAGCTATAGTGAAATGAAAAGTAAAATTTAAAAAAGTACTAATACAGTACTAATACACATCCTGAAAAGCACTGTTTAGAAAGGGTACTTTGGTTTTCTTTTGGCTAAAGGAAAGATACTAAACAACTAATAACTCACAGCCAATTAAAAGGAAAAAAAAAAAGGGAAAAAAAAAAAGGGAAAAAAAAAAAAGAAAAGGGAAACCAGAAGTGAAACACATGTTAAAATTGCATGAAAAAGTTCCTTTTGGCTCTAAAGTAAATAAAAATAAAAGTATATGTTACAAGAGAAAAAAACACAGTAAAGGTGAGTTTAGAATGTGCAGTGGGGTTGTGGGGCAGCTACCAGCAGGTATTGTACGTTCTCTTCCTAAATCTGACATAACCAATTAACAAAACCTTCAGCAAAATATAAACATTTTTATAATTAGCTTGCTAGAGATTTATACAGAAAAGGACTCAGATGATCATGAATGATTCCTACTGACTTTTGGTAGGACTGTCTATATTTGTCCAAAATGAGAATCTGGACCCAGAAGTGTTAAGGGTTGACAGATGAATATTCCACATTTATACTAACATAACTGAACAAGCCCCAGGTTTAAACTCCCTGATAACCAGATACCTCACTGTGTTTAATATGGTAGGCAGCTGAAAACTTCTTTCACCAGCGCTCCTATTTCAAATACCAGACCAAGCAATAGGACGCTGATCCAAACCCCCAGCTGTTGGACAACACACACACTTGATCATGCCTGCAGTTGAACTCTGTATTGACTGAAGAACAGATTAGATAACAGAAATTGCAGTACCTTAGGAACTGGATGAGCTGGAGAAACTGTGGCTGGCCAAACTATACTATAAGCAGTATTTCTTTGTCCCTGAAGAAACAAATATCTTCGCTGTTGATTGCTTGACTGCCTGTGCAGGTAGATATGACTGCATGAAGAAAAGATTACGTGGCAGCCAGTCACAGAACCTGTTAAGACATAAGTTAAAAGTGGTTAATATTTTTTTCTACTACCACATCACAAAATGGAAAGTATGCAAAAAGAAGGGCATCATGTCAAACAAACCACAGAACTCGTGTAGAGCCAAGGGTAGCTCAAATTGTTCAAATCTTGTACCATTAAAGAGAGAGCATTAACACTGAAAAGTAACAAGAACAAAACAAAGCTTTATAAAATACCAGATCCTTTTTGGTTCGATGTGTTAAAAAGTAGGGTGGGTAAATTCCCCAAAGCTTACAGTCAGAAGTGACGCTCCAGCTGGCGCCTGCTTAGAGCAGTTTGCACGGCTAGAAGCTGCACCGTTCAAGGCTTGGCAAAACAGTCAATAAGTTACAACAGCAAGGAACGACAAGAGAAAAAAATGATCTAATGTTGATTTCGGACAGTATTTTCAGCTGTAGTTTTGCAGAATTGGTCACAGATTTGAGTATAACCAAGTTAATGTTGCTCTTGTCATTTGCAACAAGACACAAGGAACGGGGTTCAATTTGTCCTGCCTAGCAGGGCAACAGAACAAAATTCAAGAGGTATTTTTAATCTTGGCCAAAGGCAATTGAAGGGACTAAAATTTGTAATCGACTTGGAATATTTGAATCAATTTGCCTTTAACTCACATGGGAATTCAGGATGACAATTCATCAGAGTATTCATTGCTCAGACTTAGTTGTCGGGCAATAACATATTTTGCCCCCCCTTAAAACAAAACCAAAAAAAACACAAAAGAAAAAAAAAGAAAAAAAGGGGAAAAAAAGGGCACTGAGGCCTAAAGGTTGCCAGAGACACCAAAAACAAAACAATGCATCACAAAAGATTATGCTAGCATCGAAACTGGGAAATATACTAAATTCAAAAGGATTATTGACACTGCCAAATTAAACTACAACTACACGTAGTGCATATTTCCATTACTCAAACATTCTACAATCCAAACAGAGCTGGTTTTTGAAACATAATTTTTTTGAAACATAATAGTTAATCCGCTTCTGAAAAATGTCATATGTATACAAACAGAAGAGCAATCTTGTGGCAAGTTACCCATATGAATAATTACTCTTTAGTAAAAAGGAAGTATTTTTGTTTAAACAGAAGTAACTAAACATTTTGTATATGACAGAAATTAAGAAATTAACCTATTGCATGTTTTGAAACTATGTAAAAATGATTTTTTTTTTTACCAGAAGAAGAGTTTCTTCCACATCTTGCTTTTATTTTGTTGTAATTTCCTTCTTTTCCTTTGGATACATTTATCATGTCTAGATGGAGAAATTATACTTCCACATGCAGACCTGGCTTCATAGACAGCCCGTTTACAACATTCCATGATATACAGGAGATTCGAGTTACGCACCTTTTTTGGAGCCCCAAACCCCAGAATGAATGAAATAGTTGCACGGGGTTTGCTTCAGAAGTGTACCCGACTGTCTCTTTGCACACTGATCAGTGTACATTTAGTTACCAATATCTGAAAGGTTGTAGAGGCTTTTATTCAATGCAAGCAAATTTTTACTGTTTTTTGTTTTGTTTTTTTTTTTAAATTATAGGTAAGTAACAAGGCAGAGTTGGGAGAGCAAGGCTCAGATCAAACTCTTTGTATGACCTAGGTACCCCAATGGAAGTTGCCTGCTTCAAAGGGAAATAGAGTGTCTCCATGGAAGTGGAGCTGCTCGATTAACAGAGGGCCAGATTGGTTTGGTGATGTTTTAATTATAATTTAATCAACAAACTCATCATCTACTGCTTTCCTAGGGTCTGCTTCACAAGAAAAAAATAATTGTCCAATTAAAAAAAAAAAAATTCCGGGCCATCTAACCTGCAGAATGTATAAGTGCATCCAAAGAGGCCAAAGCATCCTACAAACTTCCTGTCTGGTTTGCACTCATGTCTGGAAGCTGGAAGCATAGAATCTGCTGCAGCAGCAACTCTTGGGCCATCAGAAGTAGCAATCAAGCTGCCACTGTAAGCAAAAGTAGCTCTTTTACAGAGTGCAGTGGCAGTACTTTGTTCTTACCACAGCTGAAGGTATTATAAATATATTGAAAACCCACACTCGCTGATGTGGTCAGCTAACATGGACATCAATATGTGATCGTGTATTTCAAATGTTCTCCTTGACACATGGCATGATGCCTGGGCACTTTGTCCACTGTGCAAAAGTTTAATTGGGGAAGAAAAGTTGCAAGTGTACTTGTCGATTATTCAACAACAAAACTCCAAATGTCCCAAATACACACTCTCAAATACATTAAACCAGTTTATATTAATGGGTGCATGCCTATCGACTATCCCACATTCAGAAGGGATACCTTTTTATTTGGAATAAAATTTTACCTCTATTCTCCCAAAGATACACTGTAAGTGTTGTCACAAGATAACAGGATAATAAGGTACTGTAGTCTGTTGTTACTCTACTAACTACTCATTATAAACCAGATGCATACAAAAATATCTACTACTTGAACAGGTGAAACACGACAACCAAATAAATATCACCATAGTATAATACGACTCCTACAATACATTGCAAGAATTATAAACTCAGAACAACTAAACCTTTATTTGAAATACAAAAAATTATAACAGAAAACATTCTCCCACAAAGTAAAAATAAAATTAAATAAAATGGCATTAAAATATAATGAAGTTACTGTTTTATAATGAAAATCTGGACTCTATCCACACATTTCCTTCCTTAAGAAGGCCTTCCTAATGCCTCCACAGCTCCTTTTATTTTTTAAGCTCTCATATTCACAGCTAATTTGATATAGCAACATCATCAATCACCAGAGACAGGAAAAAATGTCTGTATTCTCCAAGTCTGTCTCAGATATTCCCTCCTCCCCATCCGTTACACCTATCAAAGCTTTTCTCAGTGCCTTATTTACTGCTGCAACACTGGTGCTCAAGCACATAATATTTGTTACGTTTTCTGTGTATATTCATTACTGTAAGACAGTTCATAAATGCAGGATTTACGCAGCTTCGAGCAGAAACTGCAGCCACCAGAGAGCCCAGAGTTTGACACCGGGTAGCCTGGTGACACACCAGCACAGCCAGGATGCAAAGTTGATCCTTGACATGTTTCTTCTCTTCCCCAACAGCAAGGCTACGTCACCTGCCACAAGTAACAGAATATTTACTATCAGCTGCAATAAGGAGAATTATTACCAGCGTTTTACTGAATCACACCACCAGATACGACATACCAAGCACAGAAAATTACAGACAACTGCTCCTCTGACTCATCAGTGAATTACACCGTGCAATCTGTATGCACACATGTCCTGCTGGAGCCGCTGGATTCCTCAGCATACCTTCCAGACCTTAATTTGTATTAATAACATAAATATGGACTGTGAGCTTCTGTGAATTACCAGATAAATTTATCTTGTGTGGAAATTACATTTCCTTTTTCTTTTAAATGAGTCAGCCAAAGGGGTTGAATACAGAATTCAAGTATGATGATTGGTGGGAGCATTTTAAGTGACTGATTTTGCAGCACAATGTGCCCTATATTTATTAGCCTTTTACTCCAGGTCTATTTTAATTGTTATCTGTTCATGCATGCTACACTATATAATGAAATGCTCCCATTTCACTCAGAGTAGAGAGTTTTTTATGTGTATCTCTATTAATGACCCTTAATTAACTTGATTTTAGTCATTTAAATGTGATTTTCCTCTGGTCAAGAAGTATTTTTAAAGGGAGATGTTGGAAATGAACTCTCACATAAGCCCTTTTCTAATGCTTCTTGTTTAACAGTTACAGCAATTTATCAGCTATGTTTTCAATGGATAAGCAGTGGGGTAGCTGTGCAAAAAACCTCATCTACATGATTTGTCAAATGTGACTGTTAGCAACCATTTTTTTGGTATTTATTTATGAACGACTTCAAATTTCCAAGGAATTAGCAAAAACATTAGCAAAGGATAAACTTCATGACAGTTCTAAGCTACAATAAATACAAGGGTACATCTTAAAAGAGTGAAAAAATAAAATTAACATATTTTAAATTAATTTAGTCATAGTATCAACAGAAGCACAGGACCAAACTTACTTAGGATTACCAGAATTAACATGCAACCCATTTAGGAAATAAAGTCAACTTGCTCTTGATAAAGTAAATCCTACTTAATATATATGAACAGTTAATAACATCAAAAGCATTGTTCTGATCATGTATTTTGAAAAGAGTTAATTAATCTTTTTTTTTTAAAAACTGAAAAGAAGGACTGTGGAGATTTTCTTAGTACGTACGCATTTGAGGGTAAAACACTAGAGATCTTTAATTTGCCTTGTCAAGTCAATTTAATATTACACCATAATTTTGCTTCTTGTGCAAATATTTATTTTGCTGAAACTTCAGAGGAATAAAGTTTAAAGTGAGGTATTAAAAGTCACTATGAGTAATAACATGTGGAATCCAACCAATGCAACTAGGTAAGACTATATAGCTTTTTACTGTTAATTACCAAATGTTCCCATTTTTTAACCTGAAACAATTGTTGTGGTTTGAAAGATCTTTACTTGTAATTGTAATTCTTTCCAAAAAAACACTGACTTTGTAATCCCCATGTTGCAAAGGTACATCCAAGCTTCAAAAATAGGATGAGAAAGATTAAAGGTTCTCTCCAACTCTGTGTAACCTGTGTAGCAGAAGAGCAGCTCACATTTCACAAGCAATAACCTGTGCATTTGATAAAAATAAAGGGGGGGTAAAAAAAAAAAGAACAACATAGGGAAATGCCTGAGGCAGAAGTTGAAAATGATTGGGCAAAGTAGAAGGACAAGAGCCCCTGAAATTAAACAAAAGCAAATTCATTCTGTTGACAGATGTTGATTACATCAAAGCCATGAAATAACTTTTTTTTTCCTGTTTCTTTTTTTTTTCCTTTTTTTGCAACTAATACCTCCACATTTTCTGTACATTAAGGATATAACATATCTTAATCAACATAACCCAACATGTAATAATTTTTACATTTGGTAAAAGTATATTGTAATGAGGTCTTAACGACAGGCTTCTCCAAACAAGAGTGTATTCACATGGTCATGTCTGCATACCCGTGCTGGTCACGCCATCATCAGCCCCTTACTTCCAGGGGTTAACTGCTCTGGCAGCCAAATAAAATACAGAGAGCGCTGTGTAATTATGGAGACAGTCAAAGGGCAGACTCTATTTTGAAATCTATTTGCACAGACAAGGTCTTCCAATTTCGCTTACAGGAAACAAGCTGGTAAAGGGGGTCTCCTCCTCTCCAGATGCTTTCCACACGTTTTTCCCACATCAGGAAATCGTGGACATGGACACCATGCAGCACTGTTTCCTGGATTGCAGGACTGTGTCATTACAAGGAGAAGAGCAAGTCCATGCTTGTGAGAAATATTTCCTCCTAATTGCCCATATCAGGGGAAGGCAAAACCGACAGGGACTACTGAAAATGTGACTAGCAGCAATTTGTAAACAGGACGCAGCCACAGCTTTCATGATGGTACTGGAAAAAAGAAAACAGAAATGAAAGGGTAAAATACTCTGTTTTTAATAGCATGATTGGGGAAATGAAATATTTATCAGGATAGATGTGACTTCAGTTAGAACAGCAACACATTAGTGAAAACCTCAACAACAGCATGCTTATATGACTGTACCCTGACAAACTGAAACACAGGCCAGTATCTTGCAAACATTATATTCTAATTGGCATTGTTTTATTTAATTATTGAAATTAACTGGAAATTAATGACAGAAGATGTGTAGTTGATAAAGGCATTAACAGAACTGGTGTTCTCGTTACTCTCAGAAGAGGCAATAAAGTAAAACAATGGCCGAACACTGACCAACTCCAAGGAAGCAGAGTCAGCCCTTCTGCCGACACCACTGGGACTCCTCCACGACACTGAAAAAAGTCAAGTTTGGCCCTCAGGACCAATTATGGTCCCTGCTAATAACAATTGTGCCCTTACTTCATGGAGAGCGGAACCGGGCAATTTGTTTGCTGTATGCCAAAACAAATGAGTTTTTAAATTGAGTGTAAGTTTATAAACTATATGGAAATACATTCTTGTTTGGCTTTACTTATTATGACTTAGTCTAGACCAGCACACTAAAATGATGAATCAGTGCCTTCTGGAACAGTGCCGTTCTTCTAATTCATTATTCAGCCAAACTTAGGGCCAACGAAATAGCTGTTCTACAAGTTGGTAAACTGGGAAACCACAGAGAATCAGAACCTCTTCTATTTACAGGAAGGATGACAGCCTAAGGGTACTTCATCCCAATAATAACAACATTCAAGTAACGGTGCCCAGGTCATGACAAGCCATGACCCTCCCCATAGCTCCTTCAGGAAGCTGGCTCAGTGCCACCTTTTATCAGCAGCAACCAACAGTGCAACTTTATCAAACAAGAAGAAAAGGAAAAAATAATTTTATATCCTCAAAAACCCCTTCGACCAGTTGAGCAGGTGTGTGTGTATATACATATATACAGACACACACACACAGAGTCACACCAAGCCAGTATAAGAAATAAATTCACTGACTGAGTAAAATTCTGGTGTCATTAAACAGCACTTTCCTATTTTGTCATAGGATTTAAAAAATAGAAGTCTAACAATCTAACTATATCTGAATGATATTCACTCATATACCAAAGGAAAAGAACTGTCTATTACAGAAAATGGGACCAGGGTGTACAGGCTTAACTTTGGGAACAGGGCATTGCAGTTCTCCAATAGAACCTTCTATCCTAGTGTTATTTCTACTACATTTTCTCTCTCCGATAGAATAACACAAGTAGAAAATAAAAAGGAAGTGTTGCCTAAAGCACTATCACAGCAAAATGAAAAAAGTCAGGTACAAAGCTGAACAAAGCAATATTAAGAGTTTCACAGACAGTTAATATCAGGGGAATTTAGGCTCCAGATCCCAGCATCTGGCAAGTTTCAACTTCTGTGACTAGCAAGAGGAACATTCCTCTTACATTACTGCATTCCTATATTGAGTAAAATAATTTATGATAAAGTGAATAAATTAAAACAAGAAACATATCTGCTCAGGTTTGCATATTTAAATACACATTTCAATCCCTTTCTATCTATCTTTAGTTTTTTAAAAGATCAGAGAAATTACTTTAGCTTGAAGGATTGGTTATTATATTCATTATTTTGATTTTGTAGGGAAGTAACAACTGTTGGAACAAGTTACTCAGTTTAAAAACTAGCCGTTGTTTCAGATTAAAATAATAAGCTATTCAAACAGTCCTTACACACACACACAATACCAAATCTTGTTGTTAATATGCACCCACCCACAGCTTCAACATTCATCATATCCTACTGGGATAAAATCTTTTCAGGTGCTCAGTGAAACAACTGTTTCTCAACTGGTATGTTTATGTCCTATATACACATCTGATACAGAATTAAATGTTAAAAATAAACCTTTAACCTCTTAGATTTCCACCTGAAATGGAAAAAATACCCCTGAATCACCACAAAAAATGTTTCCTACAGAAACCCTTTCAGTGGGTGAGCAAGGCTGCCGAAATGAGTAATCTTTGCATAGAAAATTTAGGAGTGCTCTGAACATTTTAACAGGATTTTCTGCTTATCTTGAGGCATAGGAAGAGAATGGTCAGTTTTTTCCCCACACAAAATGTAAGACCTATTGCAACAATTATTTTCAATACACCTGCAGCCAAATCTCTAAGGATACAAAATGATTTCTAAATCATGAGCCAGATTTAAATCAAAATTTAAAAAAAAAAGTGTACACTGCTAGCAATTTTAGGATGAAAACCTTAATGAAATAAGATTACATTTTACTTGGTAAAAATGACAGCTAGCAGTGTTTCTTGCCTTGTATTAAATGTTGTTAACTACTTGTATTGTCCTGTTTTCACATGAAAACACAAGTTACATAGGACAGTGGGTCTTTACTGAGAAAATATATACATGTCCTTCACTAGAATGAAGAATGTAAGGTTGGGGAATTACATCCTATAACCTGGACTTCAAAGTATATGAGCAGAATATATTAAGAATTTACAGCTGTTTCTACTAAACTACTGTGCTGGTGGAGAGAAGCTCTTCCCCCCTCCCCGCCCCGAGAAGATGCTCTACGAAAGGAAGACATTCCAATCAAGAGCTTGCAGCAGATAACTTGTAGCATCCTTAATAAAACATTTATTTTTAAACCCATCAGTCATCAGTATGTGCTATTAATGTGTAACTTGGAAGTTTATTCATAAATATGTGACATTTGGGCCACTGAATGAATTATAATTATAGGATTATGGATCGAATTTGGAAGAGTATGGTACGTTTGGGAGCTGTTTCAATGTTTTTTTTAAAATACCTTTCACTTATCTCCTTGCTTAACATTTACAAAGACCTCTTTCTTATCATAATAGTTCCTGTTTATCAAACAGTGATACAGGAAGAAGTTGTTTACAATTTCAGAAGTACCAACATACATCACTTATGACAAAAAAAACAAGCACTCCATAAGAAATGCTCAATCACTGTCAATCATACACACTAAAATATACATAAACCAAAGCATGTGGTGTGAACTATATTAAATTCAAACTGAACACAGAATTACAACTATAACAAACAAAAAACAAATAATTACAAGTGACTCATAGGCCTATTTACACAACTCACCAAACTGCTGGAAAGGCAGGTAACCATAGAAACCTGACAGCTTAAATTCAGTACTTTAAAATTTGTGTTTAGTTTAAAATGCTGAAAATGATGTTTCTGTTTGATGAAATCCATATTTTTAAAGGCTTCAGTTTTTGCTTTGGTACTTAATAAATGCTTAAAATTATTTCATCTCTTGGTTACTAATAATTTGCCTTTTAGATTTAATTTTATGCATGTAAAGATTACAATTTACTCTTTGCAATATAAAATGTTAATACACTTTAGTACCACAATTAATATTTCTAACATTTCTTTAACAACTGAAATTAAATAATGATATAAACCAAACACTCCTGCACTTACTATTAAGTGTTTTGCATATAGACTTTTCTAAGCTGCACACTAGCAAAAAAAAAAACCAACTCAAATTAACTGTTAAAGCTGAAATGCTAATAGCCTTTTCAACTTATAGTTCTTTTTCACTGACAATTACAATTTGCATGGCTTAAAATTTAATACTGTGATTAGTACTAATGTCCTATATTTTACTTCATAATCTAAATGAGTAAAATATTATTTTTGTAGTTCACTGGCTCTTACATTTAGGCTGTAATGTTCAGTGTGTATTTCATTATGCAGATGAGCAATGGATGTCGTCTAACATGATTTAAATGGGTCAACAGTATTTTCCTATTCACATTAATCATCCAGACAGCCACAAAAAAAAAAAAAAAAAAAAAAGTGCCTTGGAAACTAACCTAGGAAATCTCTTTGTTATCACCAACTCTTCCCACTAGTCAAACAACAGCAAACACATACTACAGGAGACTGGAGCCTCACAAACCGGGAAGCCAAGGCTGGGCGCTGCTCCTCTCGCTGGTGCACAGCTCCTGCCGCAGCCAGGGCCAGCAGCACTCCCCAGGCTGCCCACGGCCCCATGCCAAGAATGATTCTTGTCCCATGAAGTTCAATGGGAGCTGTGTGTTGACAAACTGAGCAAATCTGAATCGGCAAAATTCGTTCTTGGCACGGGGATGCGCAACTGCGCTGAATGCAAAGGCGTGCTGCCCGCCGACACTGCGCTGGCAGCCAGGCTATTCTTGCATAAATACACTTGTCGGAAAACTCCCACTGGAGTCAAAGGACACAGGATCAGGCCATTTATTGCCGATTGTTTATAAAACACATCAAAATTAAGGGCTCTGTTCTCAAGCCATGTAACCATCATCTATGTCCCATTTCATACATGGCATAACACAAATAAAATGGCAATTTATAAATAACATAGCGTTTCTGTGGAAAAGGGAAGCTGTTCTAATAAATGCTTAAGGGAAAGAACATAAGTACAAAACAGGCAGAAAGTAACAGGATGATCAGTAATCAAACATTCAGACTAATTTATTCAATAAATATATTCTTAAGATTAAAAAAAAAAAAGAAGCAATCAAGGTTGTCTCAAACATGAAAGTAGTGGCTATAAAGGCAGAGATGACACATTTGATTATACTACAGTGTAACAGGGCTGGCAGAGCTGGGCTGGGAAACCCCACACTGTTCACACCACGGGGCAGATCCTGCTGGACAACACCGGAGAGGTCCAAGCTCCTCAAAGATGTAATGCACAGGCTGCAAGGCAA